TCAATGTTATTAGCCCATCTTCATTTCCATCAAACACATCAAAAGCCTCTTTCAAATCTCCATCTCCATCTCCATCTTCTAGTTTGTTCATGCAAATTTATACAAAAAAAGCTATATATTTGTATCACTAATAGGTTATCTCTGTTATTTGCAGAAGGACATTGACTATATATTGTCAAGAACTGATACAATTTCTACGTAAATTCACACTGGTTTTTTGGATCCTAGAACAGGTAATCAATTTCAGTTCTCATCAAATTTCATTATTTTTGCTTTAAAAAATTTAAAAGTTTCTTTTAAATATCTTTTAGTCTGCAAAAACTTTAGGATATATTACTCGTTTCTTACTTTTAAGTAAAAAAAGTTGGGAAGTAACAAAATAAGTAACTTATTTTCAAATTTGATCAATAAATATATTATCTAACTTATTTACTAATTGGTAAACTTGCTTATGAAGTAAAGTTTTGTGTTCAATATGCTTAAAGGACATTTTCACTTTTTTGCTTGGGTCAAGACATTCTAAGTTGGGTTATAAAAATCAATTTATTGTTATTGAAAAAGATGAAATTCCTTCGAAAAATGCATCACCAGTGTTGTTTATAGCCCTTTGCTCTTTACATTATACTCCTGAAAATGCCAGCAAGAATTCTATTGGTGTATGAGCTATTTCTGAACTTTGAGTGATTTTTGTTTGTGAGTGAACCTGCAGCAGAAGCCACCCGGAGGGGGTAGACCAGTATACCTGTGATTTCAGCACTCATCATCTTGTATCTCCGACTAATAATCTCAAAATCCTCGAACTTATATTTTCATAATTTCCCCTGCACTTGTTGATTCCCATTAACTCTTCTTGATCATCACATATTTCTTGTTATGCTGAAGTTTTAAGAGAAAAATCGGATAATGGATTAGTCAAACATGGGGGTATGTCGACGATTCTATTGATGAAGATTCAAGTGATGATGATTTGTTATTAATGGATGAGTTTGATGCAAATTTTGATGATTTAATGAAGTTTCACCAACTACAAAATTTATATGTTATTTAATAATATATTAACATTAA